ACTCCCCATTATATAAATATATACTCCCCATTATATAAATATATATAGAACTACCACTCCCATAGGTTAGAGAAAGTGGGCCTGAGATTGGAAAGTCGCAAGTTCAACTCCCAGACTGACATAAAAAAAAATTGGGTGGAAAAGGTGAAACACCCACACCTGCCTCCACCCTCATTTGCTCCACTCTGGGCCCTTGAGCAAGGCACTTAACCCCCAACATCTGCTCCCAGGTCTTTCTTGAAAATGAGTTCTCATGACTCAGTGAGACTAACCTGTATAAAAATATATATTCACACATATACTGTATATATAGGTGTGTGTGCATATATAATGTATATATGAACACACACACACATTTTTAAACAGAGAATAAGGGACAACCTGACATCAGCAATAAATAAATAAAACTTTATTTTCAAAAATATGCAGTAAGAATACTGTTTAAGAAATCAGAAAAGTGAAAACGATCCGTCTCTTCATCCTAAAGATAAAAGGTTTTAACTGATAATTATGTGCCGTCCTGTTCGGACGGGTCAGCATCAAAAATGTGTTCCTTTACAAACATCAGCGAGTTTCACACAGAATATAAAGACCAAAAATGACTGATCAGTAGAAAATACTTTGTAGTTCCCAGTGAGAGTCCAGTAAGTTTGGGGGTAGAAAAAATGTCACCAGAAGTGGGAAATAATTTGCATTTCTGAAGAAACTGTAGTCCCAAACCTGTGGATGAGTTTCTCCTGCTGTCCAGAGGACAAAATAAGGCCTCGACAATGTTTCAGAAAAACACACCAGGTCAAAGACTGCAGGAGAGCACAGATCCTGAACCAGTTCTCCTGTGGGAGGTAGACATCAGTAATATCCATGTCCTGTAGTAGTGATTGTGACGTGCTGCTAAAACAAGGTGCAGCAGAGAGAAGAGGCAACCTCTCACCAGATGTTTCATCATCAACATGACTGAGTTCACGGAGTTCTGATTCTCAAAATTAACAACCCAGAGCCAAATGTTTTCAGAAGAAGTGATCATTGTCCCAGTTGTTTTTTTGATGATCCAGAACGGACTTCTTGTTCCTGTTAGCACCAGGCTTCATGCAGCTGTGGACAGGTGCACCGCGCCACACATCTGGTAAAGGTGCAAATCTGTGTCAAAACACTCCAGCACACACAAAGAAGAGATCAGGTGTCCATCTTCTCCTGCCTCTTGAAGAGCTTCATGAGCTGGTGGAACCTGTGAGCGATCTGAAAACACAGAGTGGGTCGTTACTCTTCAGCTCAGACGGAGCAGAGACACAAACACAAAGGTTAAAGGTCGTCTGGCGCTGGGCTGCCACTGACTGCTCCATGTTGGTGTTTAGGACGTTTAAAACTGCACTCCAGGCCATGCCCGTCATTTAGTTGCCCCCACACAGCCCCCATCTCGACCCAACCAAATGTTTACTTTTAATTATGGCTCCAAATGAGCAAAAACTGTTGAAATTGTAAAAAAAAATAAATTATTAAATAAGTGGCCATGTTTTGATTTGCGAGCATTTTCTTGTCTCGTTTTCAGAATAAAGTCATAAAAAAGGCACAACTGCTTTAGTTTTAAACTATAATTACTGTAATGATGGAATCTAAAGGTGAATTATGAGCCAATATGTGAAGAACTTTTATTTTACCAAAGGAAGGACCGTTTCTTTAATCTAAAACGAAACAAACAAAAAGACAAAAACAGGAAGATGTTTACTTGGAGAAGACGTACAGGCAGGTTTTAACCCTCCTGCTGCCCTGGGGTCAAAATGACCCACGAGGTTGCAATATTAAAACTTTTATCCCCATCCCTAACAAATTTAAAAAACTATTTATCAGAGGCTGCTGACCAACAGTTAGCATAGATGCTAACTTACAGCGGACATGATTAGCCTCGTTTATCGCAGGAATTGACCTTGTTCCAGTTACTAATGCACATGTGTAAAATCAGGTACCGTGTCCCCATCAGAATCTTCCATGTCTGCAACGTGACACATCTGACACCAGGTTTATCACCACCCTGCTGCTGGGATGGGAGGTGGTCTGCAACTACTGGAAGCCCTGGTGAACTGTTAAGTTTATTTTGAAAGAATTATAAAGTGAAAACTGTAACTACTTTGAGATTCCGAGAGAAAATTTGGCATGTACACCCCCCCCCCCCCAAAATAAAAAATAAAAATGCTAAAACCTCCAGAGAACCCCCACACGTTCAGAGGCCTTTTGGGGACCCCCTCATAAATGTTGTTCAGCCTGGTCAGACACTGGCTCACCTGGCCCGATGGTTTGCTGAGTTTCTCGGAGAGTGCAGAAAAGGTCTCCCGTGAAGCACCTTTCATCTTGAGGTCCATCAAGATGGTTCGATCTTCATGCCTGAATGAGCAGGAACAAAGAACCTTAGCTTCACTTTTACCATGAAACCTTTATATGTTCTTTATATGTTCACACCAACATGAGACACAACAAGCAGAACACTGATGTCCCCTGAGGGTGAGGGACTTGAATAGTGAATGTTTGTAGTTTTACAGATGTTTTTCTGGACTGGAACTGAACAGAGAATGTAGTAAACCTGAATGTTTCTGCTGCAAGATGTTCAGGTGGGGAGGAGTTACACTGTGGAGAACAGAGGCAGGATTTATTTATTTTTTCTTTTCTTGTCCGAGGCGGCGCAGTGATAAATCCTGACCACCACCAGGAGCAATGTTGCAGCCAGGGGTGGCCATCTTGGCAGCCATGTTGGATTTTGACGTGACAACCCATTTTTCTATGGTGACCTTTCTTACACATAAATGTAGCTAATATGCACCTGAATAAAAAGTGGCACAAACAGTAGCTTATATTTCAAGTAATCCAGCTCATAAAGAAAACATGTACAGTATTCAACAATAATCCAGGTATACAATCCAACATTTTTCAGTCAGGTCGAAACGTTTCAGCACAAAAAAAGAAACTGTCCAGATGACCTGACTGAAAAATGTTGGATTGTATACCTGGATTATTGAGCATGGACTTTGTTGTTTTCAACCAGTTTGACACGACTGTCAACAAGGAAGAGGGCCGGCAATGGAGGAGGGGGCGTACCAAAGAGACCATCTTAGCACCAACAGAACTGGTTTGTTCCACTTTGGAGTAAGATGTTGGGGGAAGAATCAGTTTTGTTGTGTTTCCGTGACTGATGAAGTCTTCCGGATCAAAGGCGAAACGTTTCAGCACAAAAAAAGAAACTGTCCAGATGACCCGACTGAAAAATGTTGGATATACAGTAGTCCCATCGCTACTTTGCGGTTCGACTTTCGTGGACTAGCTCTTTCGTGGTTTTTCAAAGTAAGACTGGACATGACACACAGTTGGCTGATTGATGGATGAACCATGATCAGAATGGAATTTTTCATTTAAAATAAACTATTTTAAATGATTTAGCACCTGCTGCACAGACCTCAAGTGCAGGGAGAACCTCTCTCCTACAGCGTGTCATGATCTCCGCTCTCCATCACCTGCCAGCGATTGCAGTGGAGGTGGGCGTGGCTAAGAGCGGCAGGAGGCAGAGAGCGAAGTTCATGACATGCTGTGCTCTTTTAGAGCGTTTAGAGTTTAGAAACATGGCTTAGAATATTGCAAGAGCGTGAGAAGGGTTTAAAATGCCTTAATATAAATACAAATACCAAAATAAACTACCACTACTACTACTATTACTTATACACCATGGTTTTTCCACTTATCGCAGGGGGGCTGGGAACGGAAACCCTGTGATAAACAAGGGACTACTGAATGCATATATGGTGGCAGCCATCTTGGATTTTGATATGGCAACCCAACTTTCAACAGGAACATACTGTACATACTAGGGATGCACGATATTATCGACATGGTATCGGCCGATATCAGCATTAAATTTCAATATCGGAGATCGTCCATTCCATTAAAATAACTTGCCAATACAAAAGGCGCTCCTTTTGCCTGCAGCGGCAGCACAAAGTGATGACGCTGCAGCGCAACACGATGACGTCACATGCACCTACCCAAACTCACGGCGGAGAGGAAAATTCTAAATGTCGGCGGTGTGAAAGTTTTATTTTCGTTGGTGAGGGTGTCGGATTCTGAAGATTTATGGACTATGTTGAGCCTCGCTACATCGTCCCCAGTCAGAGATATTTTTCAGACGTAACTTTACCCGAGTTACAAGCCGTCATTTCCGACGTCATTGAGAAGCTAATAGTTGATAGCACGACTTGTTGGGTGAGTTTTACCACAAACATTTGGATGTTGTGTTAGCCCCGTTAGCATGATTAGTCTTACTGCACAATGGATAGAAAAACTTTGAACTTAAAAGTCTGTCCTTCATGCACAGGAGTGCAGAGGATCCCACACTGCAGCTATAGGAACCTGGAACAAACCTCCACAAGTGAGACAGCATCACAGGTGACTAATGATAATTAATAACATTTAACACTTTTCATTTAATATAAGTTAAAGTGCTATACATATGGCTGTTACTGAATATATGTCACCAGCTCTTACAGCTGTTGCACAATTTTTGTAGCATATAGGCCTAAATAAGAGGATTATGTTCTGACAAAGGAACGCATATAAAATATTGGTATCGGCATCGGCCGAATAAATTTTAACATATCGGCATATCAGACATCGGCCAAAAATCCAATATTGTGCATCCCTAATTTATACATTTACACCTAGATGTCTAGAAGTCCGTACCTCACTTATTTCTTGAATTCTCTTGCTCACAACACAGACAAACAGTGTTTTCAATTTCCCCTACACAACAAAAACCATTTGTTCAGTAAAATATTTGCATTTCCTCAGGTCAAATAGTTGTGGCCATCTTGAAATATGATGACTCCAAAAGTTAACTGTCAGTGCGCTTCCAATAAACTGAGTTTCAGTAAAACCCATCTATGAGTTCATGAGATATTTTGCTAACAAGCAGAAAAATGAAAACATCCACACAGAAAAACATCATTGTTAGTCTTTCACTTTTGGAGAATAAAAACAGAGAAAACAGTAAGTTGTGAGTGGGTAGTTGTGTCTTTAAGCCAGCTGAAAGAAGTTAGTTAAATGATCTAGCCACATTTCTTTAACCTAAAAATTAATGTTCCATGTGCATAAAAATGAACCAAAGTAAAGCAGAAATGCACATACCCTCCCACCACTTCTGATACAACTTTCATTTTAAAAGTAGAGAATGACATTTGCTTATAATACATGCAGGCATTATTTAAAATTGTTATTATTAGCTTTTATTTAACCAGGCAAACCCACTGAGATCACAGATCTCTTTTGCAAGAGAAGCCTGGACCTGAAGGCAACCTAACATGTAGGTTTCTGACTGTGAGAGAAAACTGGAGTACCCAGAGAAAACCCATGCAAACACGAGGAGAACATGCAAACTCCCAACAGACCCCCAGGTCCAAACTGGGGATTAAACCCAAGACTTTCTTTCTGAGGCAATTTAACCACTGAGCCATTGCACTGCCCAACAGTGACTTTTTTGGTTGAGCACTTCAAATTTAAAACCACATCAAATCAGAACAGTTTGTCGGCTACTGACCTGGTCCATGCCATGACCACCTCGCCCTTCTTTTTAACGACGTTCTTCGCAGACACTCTGCTGGGTGACAGAGCTACAGGGGACAATTTGGAATCGATGTCTTTCTTGGAAGGAGATGCCTCCTCTAGACTCTCCTCCTCCTCGCTCCTGGACCTTTTTCTTTGCAGTTTTTCTAAGGGCTTCTTTTTCCTCTTTGTTGGCGAGCTGCTTGTGTCGATGGTGAAACTCTTCTCAATCTTAGACTCGTTGGTGCCATCTCTGTCCAAGTCAAAGACAGGCACCTGGCTCTGTTCACTTGCATCGGGGATTTCAGTGGTGTGTTGCACACAGCTGTTGGACTCAGAAGGTGAAACTTTGGAAATATGTTCTTGATTCTTTGTATTATCCGTAGCAGTACAATGGTGAGAAGTGGAGAAAGAACTGATTCTACAATTATCTGTAGGATTGTAATCCGGCAGGTTCTGTTGAGTAGAAGAACTTTGGTTTTTGTCAATTGTATGGTTTAGAAGAGTTATAATCTCTGCCTGGCTGTTTGAGGGATTGTTTCCACAAGGTAGATTGCTACAAGAACTAGCAGCCTGGCTGTCCTGAGCAGAAACATCGTCTCTGCATTGATTTTTATCAGTGAACGTTCCATTAATGTTCTCATCAGCAGTCTGCAAGATGTCCGCCTGCGTGTTTGTCTGTCGAATTTTTATGATGAAGTGATCGTTAGACTTCTCCATCACCAGCGCTTTCATTGGCACTTCAAGCTTGAAGCCAAAAGGAGTTGCGGGGGTTTTGGTCATCATGCTGCTGCTACAGGAGCTGGAGTTGTCAGTATCAAGAGCCAGGTGAATGTCCTGCTCTGTTGCATCTTCCTCGTCTAGCAGGGCATCTTCACTTATGTGTGCGCTGACTACGCTGTCCGGAGTGGAGATATGCATGCTCGAGCTTGATGGCTGCAGGAAGCTAAGGTGGCTGTCGGACTTGAGAGGCGATGGAAGGGTAAGAGAGACAGCCAGATCTTCTGCTAGAATGGAGTAGGACTTCTGTGATACCTGCAGTGGGTCTTTTTCTGATGGAACCTCTAAAAGACAACTTTCATCAAACAACGCTGGGTTTAAACGCATCTGGTCTTTGACTCGTGGGGATAATAGTTTGCGAGGTGAAATGCTGCTCCACGTTGCAATAAGTTTGTGCGGAGTATCAAACTTGGAAGGGGACGTGAACTTAGAAGGTGTGGTGATACTGAGGAATCTCTCTTCATCTTTCCTTGGTGTACTAAGAGACCAGGCAGCTTGGTCTCCGGTGAGCCCACTGCCTTCTAACAAGTCTGATCCTTGGAGGAGACATTTGAATATTTCTCCCATCTGAGAATCTCTCACCAAGTTGTACGTCAAACTGGAAGTTTGCTGTTCTGTGAGGAGTTCAAAGTCCGTTTTGTCAACAATGGAGCAATTTTGAGAGACCATTAAAGAAGTTATTCTATTTTTCTCAGGAGTCGAGAGAAGACCTTCACATTGGAGGTTCTCAGCCATACTTTGGGCACTTTGGTGGTTCGGTGGAGGTAAAACAGCATTACTGTCTTTTTCTACAAATGTCATTCGAATGTCTTTGCCTCTGCTTCCTAGGCCTGTTTTGTAAGGAATCACGGCACATGAACAGACCTGACTCAGGCTGGAAATAGAGAGATGTGGCTCCTTCTGTGGTTTCTTTACAGGAGCCTGTTGGGAATCTCTTTTCTCTTCACCAGACCCCTTTTCCTCAGCTGGAGCTTTTGCTGCTTTGCAAAGACTCTTCAGTGCTGAGGTTATATCCTTGAATAAATATTCAACTTGGGTGTCTACAAAATCCCACAACTTTTGCTTCAAATCAACTGACTGCTGTTCAAAAAGACGTTTCACAATGCCGCTGTTTACCACTTTGCTGAAAACAGAAGATATTAGTTTCTTCAGCTTGGACTTTAGCTCCTCTGCCTGAAAGCAGATTTGGCCAAAATGAGCACCATCCACAAACTCTAAAAATGATTTCTCAAAATTGTCCATCACACCATAGAAGCTCTTCTTTGGAAAAGTTTTATGAAGCTTCATGTACTTTTTCCGAATCTCAGTGCGAACCAACTTAAACTTCTCCATTATTTCTTCTATGGTATAAAAGGAGTCTTTGCTTCCTGCAGGGCAAACGGTTTTAAAGCGACTCTTGGGACTATGTGTCGACACGCCGTCTGCTTCAGGAGTTTCTTCCAAAGCAACTGGCTTTTCTGCAGATTTTCTCTTTAAAACGGACGGAGAGCTCGGTTTGTTTTTGACTGGCTCGGTTAACTTTGGCCTTTTGGCAGCAGGAGCAGGCACACTTAACGTGGTCTCTTCACTTTCACTTAAAATTTCTCCTTCCTCCAGCTCCGCATCAGACCTGCTGGGAGGCAGCACAGACACCTCATCTACCAAAATCTCTGTTTCATGGTTAGATTGAGAACCTGGATATTTGTTCTCTTTGTTTACGTCCAACTTTTTTGAGGTAGGATCAGAGATGATGGAAAAATCTGCAAAGGGAAAACAGAGAAATAGTAAGAGTCTATCAGTATATATAATATGTTATTATAACCCAGTCCAGATGAAGAACAGAGCTGACTACACAAAGTCTTGTGCAGACGTGACTGTCCTTTGTGACTAAGCATCCCTATAAGAAAATGACACGACTATTCCACTATGTCAAGTAGTTATCAACCTTAGGGTGCATTCACACCAGCCCTGTTTAGTCCGCTTTAATCAAACTCTAGCTCGTTTTCCTAGAAAGTCCGGTTCATTTGGGGAGGTGTGAACACGCCATCGAACTCTGTCACGGAACAAAAAGGCGAACTCTGGCTCGGGCTAAAACCTAGGTCTCGGTCCGGCAGAAGAGAACTCCAGTGCAGTTTGAGTACAGTGTGAATGTAAACAGACCCGGCCCCGCTCCACAAGCAAGAAGTGGAGTACAGCGCAGGGCAAACAAACACACATTTCTCTTACCTCATATGGAGCCGTCGGCTGCCTTGTGTGAAAAACAATATTCTCCATGGTCTTCTGCCTCATCTTCTGCTCACGTTGAGTCCATTTTTGAAAAATGACAAAATGTAACTCCTAAAACTTGATGCCACTCCGTTTTTGTTTTTATTTCCAGAAGAAAAAGAAGTGTCTTCAGAGGTTTTTGTGTTTTTTCTTTCAGTAGTTCTTGGTGCAGCGCCCCCACAGACGAGTGAGGGAACAGGTTGGTTCAACAGGTTGACTCGACTGCACAGTGCAGTGTGAATGCAAACGCACCAGCTCAAATGTAACAAAATGTTATGAATATTGGTCCCCAACCGAACCGAGTCTACCGGACTATCAGGTGTGAATGCACCCTTACTGAATATGATATCAGCCATGACACCAATCATAGAGCAGAGTATAAAGAAAAGGGAAGACGTCTCAACTAGGCTTGTCACAATAACAAATTTTGCTGGGAGATTGTCTCAGAAATTATTGCGATAAATGATAATATTGTTTGAAATTTGACAAGAGTTAGTAATTATTTATTATTTCTGATTTGCTTTTGGAATTTAAAGAGAAACCAATTAGTTTAATCAGCCCCCTGTTTTCTAGCTGTACAGGTCCTTCTAAAAAAGTTAGCATATTGTGATAAAGGTCATTATTTTCCATAATGTAATGATAAAAATTAAACTTTCATATATTTCAGATTCATTGCACACCAACTGAAATATTTCAGGTCTTTAATTGTTTTAATACCCCTCCATGGGCTGCCACCTTACTGTGGTGGAGGGGTTTGAGTGTCCCAATGATCCTAGGAGCTATGCTATCAGGGGCTTTATGCCCCTAGTAGGGTCACCCATGGCAGACAGGTCCTAGGTGAGGGACCAGACAAAGTGCAGCCCAAAGACCCCAATGATGAGAAACACAAATGGACCTAGTGTTCCCTTGCCCGGACGTGGGTCACCAGGCCCCACTCTGGAGCCAGGCCTGGAGGTGAGGCACGCGGGCGAGCGCCTGGTGGCCAGGCTTTTACCCATGGAGCTCGGCCGGGCACAGCCCGAAGAGGAGACGTGGGTCCCCCTTCCCATGGGCTCACCACCTGTGGGAGGGGCCAAAGGGGTCGGGTGCAATGTGGGATGGGTGGTGGCCGAGGGCAGGGACCCTGGCGGTCTGATCCTTGGCTACAGAAGCTGGCTATTGGGACGTGGAATGTCACCTCACTGGTGGGGAAGGAGCCTGAGCTGGTGTGTGAGGCTGAGAGGTTCCGGCTAGAAATAGTCGGACTCACCTCTACGCATGGCTCGGGCTCTGGAACCAGTTTCCTTGAGAGGGGCTGGACACTCTTCCACTCTGGAGTTGCCCCTGGTGAGAGGCGCCGAGCAGGCGTGGGCGTACTTATTTCCCCCCAACTTGGTGCCTGTGTATTGGGGTTCACCCCGGTGAATGAGAGGGTGGCCTCCCTCCGCCTACGTGTGGGGGGACGGGTTCTGACTGTCGTCTGTGCTTATGCACCAAACGGCAGTTCAGATTATCCACCCTTTCTGGAGTCCTCGGAGGGGGTACTGGAAAGTGCACCTTCTGGGGACTCCCTTGTTCTGCTGGGGGACTTCAATGCTCATGTGGGCAATGACAGTGAGACCTGGAGGGGTGTGGTTGGGAGGAACGGCCCCCCTGATCTGAACCAGAGTGGTGTTCTGTTGTTGGACTTCTGTGCTCGTCATGGATTGTCAATAACGAACACCTTGTTCAAGCATAAGGGTGTCCATATGTGCTCTTGGCACCAGGACACCCTAGGCCGCAGTTCGATGATCGACTTTGTCATCGTCTCATCTGATCTGCGGCCACATGTCTTGGACACTCGGGTGAAGAGAGGGGCGGAGCTGTCAACTGATCACTACCTGGTGGTGAGTTGGCTCCGATGGTCGGGGAGGATGCCGGTCAGACCTGGCAGACCCAAACGTATTGTGAGGGTTTGCTGGGAACGTCTGGCAGAGTCTCCTGTGAGACGGAGTTTCAACTCCCACCTCTGGGAGAACTTTGAACATGTTCCGAGGGAGGTGGGGGACATTGAGTCTGAGTGGACCATGTTTCGTGCCTCTATTGTCGAGGCGGCTTACCAGAGCTGCGGCCGCAAGGTTGTCGTGCCTGTCGCGGCGGCAACCCTCAAACCCGATGGTGGACACCGTCGGTGAGGGATGCTGTCAGGCTGAAGAAGGAGTCCTGTCGGGCCTTTTTGGCCTGTGGGACCCCGGAAGCAGCTGATGGGTACCAGCAGTCCAAGCGACATGCGGCTCGGGTGGTTGCTGAAGCAAAAACTCGGGCATGGGAGGAGTTCGGAGAGGCCATGGAGAACGACTTCCGCACGGCTTCAAGACGTTTCTGGTCCACCAGAAGAGGTCTGGGTTGTGACCGAAAGAATGAGATCTCGGATACAAGCGGCCGAAATGAGTTTTCTCCGCAGGGTGTCTGGGCTCTCCCTTAGAGACAGGGTGAGAAGCTCGATCATCCGGGAGGGACTCAGAGTAGAGCCGCTGCTTCTCCACGTCGAGAGGAGCCAGTTGAGGTGGCTTGGGCATCTGTTTAGGATGCCTTCTGGACGCCTCCCTGGTGAGGTGTTCCGGACACGTCCCACCGGAAGGAGGCCCAGAGGAAGACCCAGGACACACTGGAGGGACTACGTTTCTCGGCTGGCCTGGGAACGCCTCGGGATTCCCCCGGAAGAGCTGGCCCAAGTGGCTGGGGAGAGGGAAGTCTGGGCCTCCCTACTTAGGCTGCTACCCCCGCGACCCGACCCCGGATAAGCGGAAGAAAATGGATGGATGGATGGATGAATTGTTTTAATACTGATGATTATGGCATACAGCTCATGAAAATCCAAAATGCCTGTCCCAAAAAATTAGCATATCATGAAAAGGTTCTCTAAACAAGCTATTAACCTAACCATCTGAATCAATGACGTAACTCTAAACACCTGCAAAAGATTCCTGAGGCTTTTAAAAACTCCCAGCCTTGTTCATTACTCAAAACCGCAATCATGGGTAAGACTGCCGACCTGACTGCTGTCCAGAAGGCCATCATTGACACCCTCAAGTAAGAGAGTAAGACACAGAAAGAAATTGCTTAACGAATAGGCTGTTCCCAGAGTGCTGTATCAAGGCACCTCAGTAGGAAGTCTGTGGGAAGGGAAAAGTGTGGCAGAAAACGCTGCACAATGAGAAGAGGTGACCGGACCCTGAGGAGGATTGTGGAGAAGGGCCGATTCCAGACCTTGGGGGACCTGCGGAAGCAGTGGATGAGTCTGGAGTAGAAATATCCAGAGCCACCGTGCACAGGTGTGTGCAGGAAATGGGCTACAGGTGCCGCATTCCCCAGGTCAAGCCACTTTTGAACCAGAAACAGCGGCAGAAGTGCCTGACCTGGGCTACAGAGAAGCAGCACTGGACTGTTGCTCAGTGGTCCAAAGTATTATTTTCGGAGGAAAGCAAATTTTGCATGTCATTCGGAAATCAAGGTGCCAGAGTCTGGAGGAAGACTGGGGAGAAGGAAATGCCAGAATGCCAGAAGTCCAGTGTGAAGCACCCACAGTCAGTGATGGTCTGGGGTGCCATGTCAGCTGCTGGTGTTGGTCCATTGTGTTTTATCAAGGGCAGGGTCAATGCAGCTAGCTATCAGGAGATTTTGGAGCACTTCATGCTTCCATCTGCTGAAAAGCTTTATGGAGATGAAGATTTCATTCTTCAGCACGACCTGGCACCTGCTCACAGTGCCAAAACCACTGGTAAATGGTTTACTGACCATGGTATTACTGTGCTCAATTGGCCTGCCAACTCTCCTGACCTGAACCCCATAGAGAACCTGTGGGATATTGTGAAGAGAAAGTTGAGAGACGCAAGACCCAACACTCTGGATGAGCTTAAGGCCGCTATCGAAGCATCCTGGGCCTCCATAACACCTCAGCAGTGCCACAGGCTGATTGCCTCCATGCCACGCCGCATTGAAGCAGTCATTCATGCAAAAGAATTCCCGACCAAGTATTGAGTGCATAACTGAACATGATTATTTGAAGGTTGGCATTTTTTGTATTAAAAACACTTGTCTTTCATTGGTGGGATGAAATATGCTAATTTTTTGGGACAGGCATTTTGGGTTTTCGTGAGCTGTATGCCATAATCATCAGTATTAAAACAATTAAATACCTGAAATATTTCAGTTGGTGTGCAATGAATATGAAATATATGAAAGTTTCATTTTTATCATTACTGTAGTGAACTTAATCTGGTGTCACGACTAAGCCTAAGGTCAAAA